ATATAGAGCAATCTCACGGATTTTTTCAAGTCTTATGGATATTTTAAAAACCTCATTTTCAAATTTATCTAACATGTCAGAGCCTATAGGATGATTTAAAAAACAATAAATAACATCAAACAGCCATCTTCCAACCTATTCTGCCGCTAGAAATAAGTTACTTTTTCCTCTCTCCTTTTCCTTTTTCCTCTCTCCAGGCACTTTCATGTCCGCAGCTGACACTCCCCGCCCCCCACCCCCCGCGGGTGCGAGTTGTAAAGATTTTTTGCAAAATTTATGGATTTTTAGGGCTCTTTATACAGGTAAAAACTACTTTTATTCCTGATTTAAACTAGCGATCGTGAGCAGCTGTATGCTTTTATTTTTTTCTGTCAGGCTGTCGGAGCGCTCCTCCTCCTCTGTCCGAGGCTGGTGTGGGGTGAAAATCCTCCACCTCAGACGTTCAGAGATGTAACTGCGATACTGTGGTCACTTTCCATGTAGCATCAATTATGCTAATGCTAGCTGCCTGTCACGTTCTCTCGTCCTGGCCACACCTACGCTCTCTAACCCCCCTTCCCCTACCCACACCCCCTCCCCTACCCACTTTGATGCATTTTTCAAATTTCGCCTTGGGGCGGAGTTATCTTTTCACAGGGGGGGTAAGATACACTTTAAAGGGGCAATATTGTGTTTCTCAGGCATATAAGTAAATTCTATACCATAATAAAGTAACTATGTCACCTTCAGTTGTTATTAAAATGCTGTTTTTATGTYAAAATCAAAGATAAATTTGACTTCTCATTCATTTCCGTTTCTAAACTCCTTGAAATTGGCCTCTGTCTCTTTAACCCTGTGAGGTCGACGCCCACTCTGGAGCGGGCAAAGCTGTGATGCATTTAAAGGGCTTCTGTTAAAAAAAAACAGGAGCGCCCAGAATGTTCATTTTAACTGGGTTGGACAGCACAGACTTTAAACTTTATAAAAGTAATGTTTTTATATAGTTTTTTTATTTACTTCCAAATAAAACCAGATTTAATGATGAATAATTTTTGCCATAATGTGGACATTTTTACGCATTTGGTGTGCATTTAGAGAACGTTTTGTGACCAGGAAGTGCTTGAATGCACCATGAAACCTATTTTTCAATTTGTCAAAATGAAACAGTCTAAAATCAAAAAGCTCAGGTTGTGCTGAAAATAACGATACCAAACATGGCAAGGTAAATAGTTTTCAAAGTGAAAATATAGAGGTAAATTCAAAGTTAGTCAAAAACGGCCATTTAGACCCCAGACCTCAGAGGGTTAAGAACCTCCTTCTGATCCCGCCACGCCCATTTCAGCAGGTCATCACAGCCGCTTCTCTGCTGTTTACAACCTGGAGTGTCGTAGCATGATTTGTTGTAATTAGGAATGCGCGATATAAACGATATACGGTAGAAACGATATAAATTTGTCCTATGATAGAGATCTGTAGTCTACCGTTCAACCGCGCAATTATTTTTGATGATGTAACCAGCTGGAGTCAAAACAGAGGAAGCTGGAAGCAGCCTGGCTGAGAGCGCAAATGAAAAAGGGAAAAAACAAACAAACACCCGAACCGGACCTGGTTCGGGTGTGCGAAAATGAACGCCAAACTGTTTACATATTTACGTGACGGTGCATCCTCCGGTCAGATGCCGACCGACCACACTGCCTGCTGCGGAAGGAGCGCGCGCCGCGGCACACGACGCAGCGAGGCGACTGTCAGTGCAGGTGAAGTAGTGCTCCAGGACGCACAAAAGCTCTCAGAGTCTGGACCTCGTTTCTCCTGCGGTCATAGCGCGACGCCGCACAGCCGAATGCGCGCGCACTCCGCGTCCACTTCGCGTGCGCGTTCCAAAGCGCGACTATAAAGGGCTCAACACACGGGGAGCGACAAACTACAGCGATTAACGACTGTCATCGAAGCCAGGGTGAAACCCGACACACGGGACACGATAGCGATTGCAGTGTTGCGAATCGCGCTCTCTGGTTGCTTGTCTTCACGAAATTTGTTTGGTTCTTGACTCTGAAGGCGGGTGTGCATTACGGACGTGTAAACTAAACAAATCTTGCGATGCTAATGAAATTGAAAAACAAACACACATCAAGATACAGTTTTATGAGGAAAAACTTAACATAAACTTCACCCTGGTGCCAATATATTCCCACAAAGCTGCCTTTTTTTAGTAATCACTTGGTGAAAGTGTTAGCTAACTTCAGTGTGTAGCATACTCTCCTCTCATTGGTCAGTCAATAAAACCCTCGCTGATTGGTTGGACGCTAGTCGACAGCAACAAAAGTTGAACATTTTTCAACTTTCATATGTCGCGTTGCAAGCTCGCGTGTGCACGTCTACGTGTATGAGCGCGAAATTTCACATGCACTATTTTCGCCGGTCGCTTCGCTGGAGGAGGGCAAGCGATTGTCGCCTCACCGAACACGCTACATAGGAAATGAATGAAAGCGAGCGACGTCGCCTCCCGTGTGTCGAGCTCTTAACTCAGCCTTTACTGTCTCCTTGTACAGTGGGGAAGCGCTGTGGGAAAGGGTGACAGTCAGACTGTCTTTCAAAAAAAAAGGTAAAGCATAAACGGGACGATTGTCACCGCGCCGGAGCGCGCATAGATTAAAAACGTGGAGTGCAGAAAAAATAGTCTGCAAAGTGTGTAGAAAGGAATAAATACAAATAATTTCTTTTAACACCTTAAAACGAAGCAGGTTATTCCAAACATAGCATGCAGGTGTGTGTGTGTGTTTATATATATATATATATATATATAT